AGGTAGAAATTGGTTTTCATCAACATTTACTGAATTTTAACTCTGGCTAATCTTTAACCGACTTTCATACTTGGTTTGACATGTTATTAATTCAAACATTTTTGATCAAAATAAAATATTAGTAGTGTTAAATTTCTATCATGTAGACTTTTCTCAAAGTGAAAGTTGCATACACTATAAAACAAAATTTGCGATGTATTCGTATTTATTATCAATGTACTATCTGATAAAGTTTATAGGTAGTGGAAATTATAGAACGTGGAACATTAAATGCAGTTATAACTTAAATTAAAACTTAATAGATAAATCATTAGATAAAATTGATCGTTCGACTAATAATTAGACATAGTATATCGCTTCTTTAAATGAAATACATCGTATTATCTAAAAGAAGGGAAATTAACATTTATGCGATAAGGAACTCGATTACTAAAACCACGACTCTTATGATTTAGTCCAACATCAAGATTCAAATTTATATTTCAAATTACCATAGTGTTAAAGATACGTACCTTTAGCTAAGCTTTCTTTAACTTCCTTCAATACAAACTCTGTTTCACCACGCTGCTGTTGTTCCAAATGCAATCTAAACCAATAAAAATTAGCTTGACCCAGTTTAAAAGCGTTTATAAAAAGTAATAGACTAATTACCGTGCGCGCTTTGCAGCTAAATGCGCGTAGTCTAAATGATTTGAAGTTTAGATTACTAAAGTAATTGTCAATCTAAAATTATAAATAAGAATAATAATAATTACATGCAGCAGGCGAGATCGATACTGATCTCGTTGCACTATAAATAAATGATATAATCTAATATCAGGACAAAACCAGTATTATTTTTGTGGCAGCCGAAGCTGAAATTGGCTGATGCTGAAATCCTGACCTATTTTATTGCGAATTTAATTTTCAGGTTTTTTTTTTTTTTTTTTTTTTTTTTTTTTAGTTATGATTTAAGACTAGAATTAATAATAAATATGTGAATTTTAGTAGATATTATAGATTTACTTGGGACTCTAAATTTCAGCATCAGCACATCAGCATAAGTTGTCATATTTTTCAACATAGACAATAAATGAATTCAAACCGTTGATAATTGTAACAGAGTTTATTGGTTAAGTCTTGCAAACTATCGGCAGTAAATTTATTTTCGTCAAAAAGGACGTGATCTATCGAGTCAAAAACAAGTGATGTTATTTTTAAGTGCTTTACCGTAAAGTTGACCAAAGTAATAAGCATACATACAGTGTGCTGGTCGTGATGTTCCATGTAAACTTGAATGTGACTGTAGAACTAAAGGTATGCAAATATTTATTTTATCAACAAAATAATATGTGTAAAAGATGAGAAATAAGCTGATCATAAAAATGAATAAACTTACAGAAATCAAACAAATATGGATGTGTTATTTTCTGGTCAACAACCGTGCCAGCAACACAATTTCCTTTGCTACATAATATATAAATCTTATTAAATATATGAACTTCCTCGTTCCATTTTTTTGAGATCACATTACCTGTCAGCATCGCGTTCATGCCGCGGATAAAATCGTGTATGATGTCGTTTACCGACGACTACAAAAGTTATTGGGGGCCTATAACCCTCTTCCACTTTTGTACAAGCCTCTAAACATCCATACAAGTAAGTTTATTGTATACGACATGGGACTGTTAGACATTATTAGCACAATTTCATAAGTAGCTTGCCTTTAATCTGTTCAAGTTCATGAGTTAGCACCATTTCAAATTGACTTTCAGATACACCATCTCGGTACATGATAATCCGTCGAGGTAAAATACTATTTTTATCACGATAGTCTCTCAAAATTTCCAATACCATCCCACTCATATTTTCAATCTTCTCTTGTCTAGTTTTCTGGCTTTCAAGTTTTGGAGTAAAACGACCACCTTGGCGATCGAGTGAACCAACAACCGCACAAATAGAAGGCATATCTACAGATAGTTTTAATAATGAATTTACATAAATATTAATAACAATTAATAAATTAAAGATTTTGTAATAAATCATACTTGAAGGACCAGCACGCCCACCAGTTGGGTGTGTGACATCGGCACCAAGCAGCAATACCGGCTCTTGTGCGAAGAGGGGTATTTCGGTATCTTCAAGGGATTGATTTGTCCCTCCCAGCTTTAAATTTATTTTTAATGCAATGTTCGCACAATATTGTTTACTTGTCTTTCCTACTTTATCAACTTGGACACATTGTGAGGGAACGCCGAGAACTGTATCTGCTGTATATTTTATTGCTCGATATCGTTTTTCATCATCGTCCGGAAGAATAAAAAGCATCAATTGAAGATCATTCTTTAGGTGATTCTTAGCGTTATTATATTCTTGTATGACAAGGTGTTGATAGGTATGTGGTTCACCATTGGGCTTGACATAGTTGACTCGTGGGTTACCTTCTGCGATATCCTAAAAAATAACGATTTACCAGGCTAAATTTATAAAAAATAAAATACTATAATAAATAAACTAATTAACTACCATTCCTTGACTTCTACTTGTATTTACAAGTTCTTTTATGAATTGTTTGGCTTGCGAAAATGATAACTTTTGCTGTTGAACAAATGCAACCACCACCCAATATTGAAGTGTTTTACCGCTTCTGACAAACTTTCGATCTCGAAGGTTCCATCCACCTTCACGAGGTTTAACTGTGCCACCTGCTTTGGATGTTATATGATATGATACTTTGGGAGCTTTCAATATGCGAGCTTTATTATTAATTATTAAAGCACAAAAAAGGCATATAATAAATTAGAATTAATTTATAAATTTAATTGAGAATAATATGCGCTATTACTCTCTAAACTATAAATACCTGGAATTACTGCCATTTTTTCTTCGATGTTCATTCCAAATTTCTTTAATTTAAAATCTTTTTCGAATTGTAAGACATTCTTAATACCTTCAGTAATTCTATCCATGTTGTCTTGAGGACGCAATGCAGTATGCTTAATCATATGTCCTCTTTGAGCACTAGATAGCTTTGCAACAGGAAACCTTTGACCCTAATATATATATATATATATATATATATTTAAAATAAGTAAATATTAAATCAAAAATAACTACAATTTGATTTAAAAATAATACCTCAATAATATCGCATAATTCAATTGGAATTTTGTCATTCTTCCGACCTTCAAGCTCGACGAGATGTAAATATTTTAAATATATGTTATATCTTCGCTGATAATAAGAATAAATACTAATTTTTTCTTCAGAATCTGGGATATCAACCATGTTGTCGCGCGCGTTAGTGGAGCATAACCTTTTAATTTTGAATCGTGTGCTAACTTTAGGGCGATGGATGGCTTTAAATTGCAATCCATGGACAAGTTCGGAAATTTTGTCCTGTTGTTGTTGAGTAAATCGATCCGGAATGTTGTCTAATTTAAGATATTTAATAATTAAAGAGTGCAGGGGTCCCGGCTCGTAAAAAACAGTATAAGTAGTGTTAACATTGACAAAATAGCTATCTGTCTCGGTCAAAAACATAGAAATAAAAATTAAAATATGCTCAATAATGTAAAAAAAAAGCTTATTAACGACTAAATGAATATACCTTGTCCGGGCCTTACGCTTTCAAACCAACCCATCCATAATTCTACACCTCCACCCAAAGATTTACGCGTCGAAGGTAAATATGTAGATTCACCAAATTGAGTATACTTCATTGACGGCATATGATGTATTAAGGCATTAAGCCCTCTAAGGCCAGCTACAATTTTTATAAAACTGCCGAATAAGATAATAGATAAAATATTGTAGACATAGTATAGAGTCATGAAATTATTATTTAATAATCACACCTAAATCAAAATATTCCCACTTCATTTCTTTTCCTTCAAGAAACTTTTTTAATTCATCAATGTCAATTTTTTCAATCCTTCGAATTTCGACTTTATACTCGGCAGGATTCCCTCTGAAGTCCTGATCATCTTTTAAGGTGACCTATAGACGTGTCAATAATGAAATAAATTCGAAACAGCTATGTATATTAGTAATCGACATCCAAATATATAGTGAAAACGCGTAATATATTGTACATCTCACCGATGTTGTCCCAGAATCAGAGTTTAAATTCAAAAGATCAGTAGAATATATTGCCGTGCTCCCTATTCATAGTTGAAAAATAGGCGAGATAAATCGCGATCAAGCATATAGTTAGCAATGACTCACAAAGAATTTCACGGATACTATGTGAATGTCATCAATTGACTTATGAAAATACCATCAAAGACGACACCAGCTCCTTTGAACCAGCCGTTACGCTCTTGTTTTTCTAATTGTTGAAATATAGCGCGTTGGACGTGAGTCGGAAGTTGTTTCAATTGTTTGGGAGCTTTTCGGCGATGAGAACCTTCTCCTCCGGGCCTTTGTTGAGTTTGCAGTTTCATTGTAATCTCATATTTTTCAAAATATGCCCTATTCGCGATCTGAAGAACTTGTAAGATAATATAGAGAGTAGGTGAACTGATCATATGGTGAGTAATTATTATGAATTACCTTTTTGATTTCAAAGTAATTAGTAATAAGTTGGGTCTGTCGTCCGAACTTGCCATAGCCAGGCCGTTTAGCCATACTCTTTATGGCCTCTTCTCTTAAGGCTTCTTGGCGCATTGGACTTAACGTGTAAAGTGATCCTAGCCGGCCAAAAAGTTTACAACCGACCAAGCCGATAAAACGTTGGATTTGAATACGTTCGTATAATAGTCTTGAATGTCTACTTAAGGCAATTTCCGATATTTACATAGCCATATAAAGTCGACCAACCGATTTTTTTAAAAAAAATCGACCGACCGGGCCGAAAAATCGGCTTAGCAAAATTTTTTTAGTTATCAGCCAAGATTACTTTTTTTGCAAATAATATATATATATATTATTCATTTCTTGCAAAATAACTCTCTTAAGCGAATCTAGAAATAGCGATAGTGAATGTAGAATAGCGGGCTTTCATCTGATTGTAGTTATATCAATATGGGTTGATCAACGTGCATTAATATCGATAACAATATCTAACGCTAAAGGAATTCTATAAATTACACTGCATGAATGGAAAAGATTACTTTAGATAAAACATTTTAAAGATTTCTTAAAACGTATTGGCTTTACTGCTTTGTGCTTATAACGTGTGCAAAACGCGTAAAATTTTGACGGTTACGAATATCGTCATGCCTGATCACCCATACTACAGTATATATATATTAAAAAAAAATATTTTTTAAAATCCGTATTTTTTTTTACGTTTGTCCCGATTAATAAGTGGAGTGATCAGTCATTACAATCGGTTGCAGTTAATGATAATACCGACCAAATTGGCCAGCATTATAACTAATGCCAGCTAACTTTGTCAGTATTAGGGGTGTTCTCAAGCAGCACGCTCGATATAATTAATTAGACCATTTTTGAGAACCGATAGTATGATGTTGAAGCCGAATGGAGAATGATATGATTGAAATATGCTCATGTATCTTACACAATAGATTAATTTATGATCGTGTTGGTGCTCAAGTATTATGATTAATTAAAATATTGATTGCAATTGATGCTTGAGCAAACGTCTTTATCATTAACATTTAGCAATTATAAAAAAATAAAAAAATAAATTAATGAAAAAGATGGATCAACGAAAGGATAAAGAATCTACGACACTTCCAAATTCTGTTACTTCTTTTTCAGAATTTACTACGAACCAACAGAACACAAAAACGTGCCTTTTTTTAATTGCGGCGAATATTTTTAGCATAGGTAATTAGATCGTAATGTAAGAGTGAAGTACTTGAACAATTATTTTTTCTGATCAATCAATGAAAAATTTCGACCAATAAATGTTGCAGATTATAATGAAATCAGATCATTGTGAAATTTAGAGCCTCAATTTAAATATATAAGCTCTACCAAAGTCTACTTATACTCTTTTTCTAGTAATTCTAACCCTAAACCCTAACTTAACTATAAAAAAAAATCCAACAAAAAAGACCCAAAAAAAATTTAAAAATCATACATAAAATAAGTTAAATTTCATTATAATCTGATTTCATTATGATCTGCCATAGTTATTACCACCTCTTACACAATAAAGACTTACTCGGTTACCAAAAGCACCTAAGTGTGATCTGCCTCAACAATATGTTCTTTTCTCTACAGGGCTTTAACTCACTAGAGCTTATCTGCAAGATCAACAAAAGCCTGCTGTTAGCTTGTCAAGATTACCATTATTCACTTTTGTTTGGTCTTGTCAGGGATGTTCAAAGAGGCCTAACTGCTCTTTGGATGAAGTTTACTACATATGCTTTTGCTTTCTTGTATACTTTTTGTACTTTTTCTTTATATGATTCTTTTTTTACTTCTTGTTTTGTTCCTGACGTTTCGGGTTCCTCCTTGTCTAGCACATCTAACTTCTATTTCTTTTTCTTTGTCCTTCTTCCTTGAACCTTCTCATACTTCCTTTTCTTTTCACAGGTGATTTTTTGCCTTTCTTCCCAATCCACAATTACTTTGCATCAGAACTTCCAGATTTATTCAAAAAACTTCTTATGGAAAATTTAGAGCATTTTTCTCAGATCGAGTCTCTCTTCTTTGTTCTTGCTTTTGTTTATTATCTCTTGAATGAGTCTTTTCCTCTTTTCTAGCTTCATTTTTCTTTCTATACCAAAGAAGGTCTCTACGGGTCCGGCAGATATTGTGCTAGCTTTGGAGAGTTTTCTTTGGCCTTTTTCTTTCTTTTTTCCTTCTAAAATTTCTCCACCACCTCTTTTTCGAGTTTTTCTCAGAGTCTCTCATATATTTCGCATGTTGCGAGGTGGTCTTGTGTTTCTGGCTCCTTTAAACATGCTACGCAGGTATTACTTTTATAAACTTCTGGGTTTCTAATATGCAACTTTGTTAATGTGGGTAATATTTGGTTTAGGGCTTTAACTCGAAAAGATCATATGCTGCTTTGCTTTGTGCTTATGCATCTCTGTCCTTTTACTTTATTTATTAGGCCCTATGTATCTCTCCACTCGTAATCTTTTTCTAGTTTGCTACTTTCGAGATTACTTTCTTTTTCTATAAACCATTTTCACTCTGTATCGTATATTGTATTG